GGAGGGTTTGGGGGTTCTGGAAGGATCCAGGAGGCATCTCAGGAGGGTGTGGGGGTTCTGGAAGGATCCAGGAGGTATCTCAGGAGGTTTAGGAGGGTTTTGAGGGGGCCCAGGGACTGACCAGTCTCTGCTGTCTTCACGGCCGTGTCGATGAGCCCCTCCCTGCCCCCCATGGCGTGGAAGAAGAACTCGGTGGGGGTGAGCCCGGCCAGGTACGAGTTCTCCACGAAGCCGCGGCTCTCGGGGCCGTAGTCGTCCTTGATGAAGTGGGGGAGGGTCCTGTGCTTGAAGCCAAAGGGGATCCTCTTGCCCTCCACGTTCTGCTGGCCCACCACGGCGATGACCTGGGGGGACACGGTGGGTGGGATGGGGCAGGAAGACCCCCCAGACCTCATAATGACCATCAGATTCCTCAGGGAACATCTCAAGAACCTGGGGAGAAGCTCAATGGATGTTCCATCATGGTGACCCAACATCACCAAGATGAGCTGGGGGGACATGGTGGGTGGGATTGGGCAGGAAGACCCCCTAGACCTCATAATGACCATCAGATTCCTCAGGGAACATCTCAAGGACCTGGGGAGAACCTCAGTGGATCTCGGGGATGTTCCATCATGGTGACCCAACATCACCAAGATGAGCTGGGAGGAAGTGGGGGCTCATCATGGGTGGGATTGGGCAGGAGGACCCCCCAGACCTCATAACGACCATCAGATTCCTCAGGGAACATCTCAAGGACCTGGGGAGAAGCTCAATGGATCTCAGAGATGTTCCATCATGGTGACCAACATCACCAAGATGAGCTGGGAGGAACTGGGGGCTCATCATGGGTGGGATTGAGCAAGAGGAGCCACCCAGACCTCATAACCACCATCAGATTCCTCAGGGAACATCTCAAGGACCTCAATGGATCTCAGAAATGTTCCATCATGGTGACCAACATCACCAAGATGAGCTGGGAGGAAGTGGGGGCTCATCATGGGTGGGATTGGGCAGGAAAACCCACCCAGACCTCATAACCACCATCAGATTCCTCAGGGAACATCTCAAGAACCTCAATGGATCTCAGAAATGTTCCATCATGGTGACCAACATCACCAAGATGAGCTGGGGGCTCATCATGGGTGGGATTGGGCAGGAGGACCCCCCAGACCTCATAACCACCATCAGATTCCCCAGGGAACATCTCAAGAACATGGGGAGAACCTCAGTGGATCTCAGAGATGTTCCATCATGGTGACCAACATCACCAAGATGAGCTGGGAGGAAGTGGGGGCTCATCATGGGTGGGATTGGGCAGGAAAACCCACCCAGACCTCATAACCACCATCAGATTCCTCAGGGAACATCTCAAGAACCTCAATGGATCTCAGAAATGTTCCATCATGGTGACCAACATCACCACAACGACCCATGGGATCCTCTTAAACCCAACAGGGACCCCCACCAAGGCCTGGGAGATGTTGATCTTGGAGCTCTTGGAGCCCAACACCATCACAGAAGTCCAAGAAGACTCTCCCAAAGCCCCTTGAGATCCTCCTGGCACCCCACAGGAGCCCTCCAAGACCTGATGGAGCCCCCCAAGACCTGATGGAGCCCCCCAAGACCGGGGAGATGTTGATCTTGGAGCTCCTGGAACCCAACACACCCAAAGATCCTCAAGAAGACCCCCAGAGAGGTCTACAGAACCCACCAGGAACCTTCTCAAAGCCCCTTGAGATCCTCCTGACATCCCACAGGAGCCCCCCAAGACCTGATGGAGCCCCCCCAAGACCTGATGGAGCCCCCCCAAGACCTGATGGAGCCCCCCCAAGACCTGATGGAGCCCCCCCAAGACCTGATGGAGCCCCCCCAAGACCTGATGGAGCCCCCCCAAGACCTGATGGAGCCCCCCCAAGACCTGATGGAGCCCCCCAGGACCGGGGAGACATGGATGTTGGAGCTCTTGGAGCCCAAGACCACCAGAGAAGTCCAAGAAGACCCTCCCAAAGCCCCTGGAGATCCTCCTGGCACCCCACAGGAGCCCCCCAGGACCTGGTGGAGCCCCCCAAGACCTGGTGGAGGCCCCCAAGACCTGGTGGAGGCCCCCAGGACCGGGGAGATGTTGATCTTGGAGCTCTTGGAGCCCAAGACCACCAGAGACGTCCAGGAAGACCCTCCCAAAGCCCCTGGAGATCCTCCTGGCACCCCACAGGAGCCCCCCAGGACCTGGTGGAGCCCCCCAAGACCTGGTGGACCCCCCCCAATACCTGGGAGATGTTGATCTTGGAGCCCTTAGCCCCAGACACCACCATGGACTTGAAGTTGTTGTACTCAGAGAGGGACTTCTGGGCAGAAGATCCCGTCTTGTCTCGAGCGTCGTTGAGGATCCGGTTGACCTGGTTCTCGAAGGTCTGGCGCAAGGTGTTCCCTGGGGTGGGCTCCAGCTCGTTGTTGTGGGCCTTCTCAATCACCTGCAACCCCACCAGGACCCAGACTGGTCACACTGGGGCACCTCAGAACCCCAGGAGGACCTCAGAACCCCAGGAGAACCCCAAAAAAACCTCCAGGAAGCCCCCAAAAACTTCCAGGAACCTCCAAAAAACCTCCAGGAACCTCCAAAACACCCCCCAGAAACCCCAAAAAACCTCCAGGAACCTCCAAAAATCCTCCAGGAACTCCCAAAGAACCTACAGGAAGCCCCAAAAAACCTCAGGGAAGCCCCAAGGAACCTCCAAAAAACCTCCAGGAACCTCCAAAAAACCTCCAGGAACCTCCAAAAAACCTCCAGGAACCTCCAAAAAACCTCCAGGAACCTCCAAAAAACCTCCAGGAACCTCCAAAAAACCTCCAGGAACCTCCAAAAAACCTCCAGGAACCTCCAAAAAACCTCCAGGAATCCCCAAAACACCTCCAGGAACCCCCAAAACACCTCCAGGAACCTCCAAAACACCCCCCAGAAACCCCAAAAAACCTCCAGGAACCTCCAAAAATCCTCCAGGAACTCCCAAAGAACCTACAGGAAGCCCCAAAAAACCTCAGGGAAGCCCCAAGGAACCTCCAAAAAACCTCCAGGAACCTCCAAAACACCCCCCAGAAACCCCAAAAAACCTCCAGGAACCTCCAAAAATCCTCCAGGAAGCCCCAAAACACCCCCAGGAACCTCCAAAAAACCTCCAGGAACCTCCAAAACACCCCCCAGAAACCCCAGCCCCCCAGGACCCCCCACCCACCTCAATGACATCCTGCTTGGCCTTCTTGATGGTGTTCTGGATGTCCTGGTAGGTCTTGGCATCGGCGATGGAGTCCCCGATGCCGATGGTGTGACCTGGAGAAGAGAAATCAGGGGGGTCAGGTGGGGGGTCCCCCATCTCAGGAGGGTCTTCACCCCACGTTCTGTCCCCACCCCACCCCAAAACCACCTCTCTTGCCTTGGTCTCCTGACCCCAGGGGACACCTGGGGGTTCAGGTGACCAGAAAAGGGGGTTTCAAGGGCAACTTGTGGACTTTTTTGGGGCTCCAAAAAGGGGGTCCAAGACCCCCTGAAGACATTTGGACCTTGTTCTTCAGGATGGTGGGAGTCCAGGAGCCCCCCCAGACACCCAAGTCCCCCCTGTGCCACCAAGACAGGGCCTGAGAAGGTCCCCAGAGGACACCTGGGTCCCCAAAAAGAGGGTCCAAGACCCCTTGAAGACATTTGGACCTTGTTCTTCAGGATGGTGGGAGTCCAGGAGCCCCCCCAGACACCCAAGTCCCCCCTGTGCCACCAAGACAGGGCCTGAGAAGGTCCCCAGAGGACACCTGGGTCCCCAACAAGAGGGTCCAAGACCCCCTGAGGACACCTGGGCTCCCACCATCCTGAAGAACAAGGTCCAAGAGAAACAAGGACACCCAAGTTCCCCCTGTCCCACCAAGATGGGGTCTCAGAAGGTCCCCAGAGGACACCTGGGTCCCCAAAAAGAGGGTCCAAGACCCCCTGAAGACATTTGGACCTTCTTCTTCAGGATGGTGGGAATCCAGGAGCCCCCATGGACACCCAAGTCCCCCCTGTCCCACCAAGATGGGGTCTCACAAGGTCCCCAGAAGTCACCTGGGTCCTGGTCCAAGAGGAACATGGGACAGTGGGGTTCCCCCTGTCCCCCCAAGACAGGGTCTGAGAAGGTCCCCAGAAGACACCTGGGTCCCCAACAAGAAGGTCCAAGAGGAACATGGGACACTGGGGTCCCCCCTGTCCCCCCAAGACAGGGTCTGAGAAGGTCCCCAGATGCCCCCAGCCCCGTTCTGGGGGTGTCCATGTCCCCCCAGGCCCTGCTGACCCTCGATGAGGAGCCAGTTGTTGATGACAGTCTGGATGTTGCTGTAGAAGAGGCGGGTGGTGTCGTGGCCCATCTCCAGGTAGGAGATGTGGACCAAGGAACCTGCTGAGGTCCCCAGGGACTTCTTGCACAGGATGCCCATGATCAGCTCCCCGTTCTCCACGATCACCTGGCAAAGAGGAGGTTGGTGGGACCTCCAGGAAGAGCTCCTCACCACCCACGGTGCTCCAGCCACCCCCAAAAGGTCTTCTGCACCCCCTTTTGGCCATCCTGAGGTTCCCTCCCATCTGGGACCTTCTCCAGGTATCCCCAAGTCCCACCAAGCCACCCTAGACCATCCCCAAGTCCCACCAACCCCCCCCAGACCATCCCCAAGACCCACCAAGCCCCCCCAGACCATCCCCAAGTCCCACCAAGCCCCCTCAGACCATCCTCATGTCCCACCAAGCCCCCTCAGACCATCCTCATGTCCCACCAACCCCATCCAGACCATCCCCAAGTCCCACCAACCCCATCCAAACCACCCTCATGTCCCACCAACCCCATCCAGACCATCCCCAAGTCCCACCAACCCCATCCAAACCACCCTCATGTCCCACAGCCCATCCCCATGTCCCACCAACCCCCTCCAGACCATCCCCAAGTCCCACCAACCCCCCCCAGACCATCCTCATGTCCCACCAACCCCATCCAGACCATCCCCAAGTCCCACCAACCCCATCCAAACCACCCTCATGTCCCACCAACCCCATCCAGACCATCCCCAAGTCCCACCAACCCCATCCAGACCATCCCCAAGTCCCACCAACCCCATCCAGACCATCCCCAAGTCCCACCAACCCCATCCAGACCATCCTCAAGTCCCACCAACCCCATCCCACACCACCTTCATGTCCCACCAGGCCACCCTAGACCCCCCTCAAACCCCCCCAAGCTTCCTCAAACCACCCATCCCCCACCCCAGGGTCTCCAAACCACCTCCCCAACCTCTTCCCCTCCACCCACCTCACCCCTAGGACCACCCCAAGGCCACCCTGAAGCCCCCCCACCTTGGTGTCCCCCGGGGAGATGTGCTTGTAGGGCCCACTGTCCTCGTCGTCGGGGTGGGTGCTGTGGGTGCGGATGCAGTTGATGTGTCCAGGGATGATGAGGGAGAAGATCTGCTTCCCTGTCCAGAGGGGACGGGGCTTCAAGATGGCAGGTTGAGGGACCTTCCCATCCCACGTCGAGAGGAACATCAGCAGGTTCATCACCTCCCCCTGTGGGTGAGGGGACACCCTGTCAGCACCCCAAAACGGCCACGGCACCAAGACCCTCCCCCCAGAAAAACCCACCTCCTCTAAGTTCTCCTGATGGCCACCTCAGATCTTCCCACCACAACCCCAAAGATGTCCCAAAATACCCCAAAAACCCCTTCTACTGGGCAAGGAGACCCCAAAAGGACCTGAAATTCTCCCACCAGAACCAAAAAAAGCCCCAAAATACCCCAAAAACTCCTTCTACTGGTCAAGGAGACCCCATAAGGACCTGAAATTCTCCCACCAGAACCAAAAAAAGCTCCCAAAACACCCCAAGAACTTCTCTACTGGGCAAGGAGACCCCAAAAGGACCTGAAATTGTCCCACCAGAACCAAAAAAACCTCCCCAAAACCTGCTGGTAGCCCAAGGCCACCCCAAACCTCATGTCCCACCACCCCCAGAAACCCTCTGGCAGCCCAAGGACACCCCAAAACCCACACCCCAACCCCAACATGTCCCACCAACCCCAGAAACCCTCCTCTAACCCCAACCCACCTCCATCCCCTCCCCATAAACCCTCCCATAAACCAACCACCCCCTCCACCCAGCTGACCAACCACCTGAAGACCCTTCCCAAGACCCTTCCCAAGAAGCTCCCCAGGTCCCACCACCCAACCCCAGAGCCCCCCAGCCCCAGGGGGTGGGCCTGACCCTCTCCAGGAAGACGTCTCGCTTGGTGAACTTGCGCACGGCCGTCAGGAGAGCCCGAGGACACCCCAAAACCCACATCCCAACCCCCAGAAACCTTCTGGTAGCCCAAGACCACCCCAAACCTCATGTCCCACCACCCCCAGAAACCCTCTGGCAGCCCAAGGACACCCCAAAACCCACACCCCAACCCCAACATGTCCCACCAACCCCAGAAACCCCCCCTCTAAC